TTTTTTTTTTTTTTCCTCTCCGGGAGCAAAAAGCAATCGCGATGCAAACTCGGAGCTGTGACCGTCAGCGCTCTGGGCTGTGGACTGTGGACTGTGGACTGTGGGCTATGGTCTGGGCACAGGTGTCTTCTTAAAACCGGCTCTGAGGGCCGTGGACGATGAGGAAACCCAGGTTGGTTTTCCCGTGGAGCTTGCGGGGGATCATGTTTTTCTGCCCCCCGTTACACACTGGTACGATGGTGTGTCGGTTAGAAACCGCGTGAAGGCATCTAAAGAAACTTTTAAGGGTCTCAGGGTTCTGGTGGATGAGTAAGTGAAAGTCGCGCGTCCCCCTGGCTACTGGCAGACAAGGGCGCTTTGTTTCTCAGGACTGCTACTTTATTGCTTTTCCTCAGCAAGTTGCAACTACCCAAACTTGCTTAGAAATTTCTCAAGCATGTAACTCAGAGTGACTGTGAATATTGGAAGCAATTTGGTCTTATTAAGGTAATCATTAAAACGGCCCTCAGAAGCATTTGTTGATCGGTTTTTAAACAGAATAATTTTCACGGAATGTTTCCCGCAAAATTGCCATTGTCGTTGTGACACTTCTCATTACCTGGTCTTGGAATGTCACTTCAGAAGGAAAGGGTCACTTGGCTTCTGAGGGTTCCTGCCTGTCTTCTGTAAGTAGGAGACTACTTTAAGTGAACATCAGTCACAGTCTTTTCTTTGCAAGTAGAAGACCATTCCTTGCATGAATTATTGCATTTCATTAATGCACGAGCTTCTGTGTTGCTAAGGAGAACCCTTGTGTTTTCTAGGGACTTCCTGTCGATTTCTAACTCTGCTTCCCTTGAGACATTGAATCCAAGTTTGTGTAGTGGCCAGAGTCAGTCAATAGAATTTTCTTCTTTTTTCTTGTCCAGAAATGATACAGTTCGAAACACACAACTTTGGTTCTACTAGTATCATGCTTGTATGAACAGACTGAGCTATTCTAAGTAGTCCAGCAAGCAAATTCTTCCACTGATGGTTGTGTACTTGAGATAACCCTTCTTGTGCCTTGAGACTATGGACCCGGTGTCATGTAGGGTCCTAGACATCTAACCATCTGGACAACACTTGTGTTAATTGTCACGACCATGTGACGAGTAAAATAGACAATATTGACAAATTTTTCTTCTTTTTTTTTTCATCTTCAGAATTCAAAACTTTGAGGCTTTGATTTTATCAGATGACACACTTCTTTTTCTAAATCTGACCAATGCATTCATCAACCATTAGACTATAGCAGATCAGATCTATTTTGGGTATCTGGTTGTTTCACAAGATGTTTGATAGAACAGAACTGCGTATGTTTTCTGTGAATGAAGACTGAAATGAAAAACACAAAAATATATGATTATTTTGCATGAATGCTCATCGGAATCTATTGGAGATGCTACAAGTTAAACCGCTATCTCAGTTTTCAAAGACACACAGTGGATGCACAGGGTTGTAACCAGGTAGCCACTTAGGCACACGCTTTCAGAGTCAGTTGAACACACATGCCTGTGACTGGCTGCTTCTCCTCCAAGTTTCCCTGCTCCTTGCTGAGGAGCAGCAATCCACCGCAACCTAATCCTAACCTCTTATTTCTTTGGGCTGGGGGCAAGGGGAATTGTTATAACTCGAGTGGAAATTACTGTAACTCAGTTTACCCATTAGCATTCTCCTTGGAGCATACATTAGTTCAAATGCTTTCTGACCTGTGATTATACCCAACAAGGTGGTTAAGTCTGACTGTAAGCTTTTTAAATGACAGAGACCAGGCCCAAGGCCTTATTAATGTGGGATAAAGGGAAGAGCAATGGTTCGCAGTCAGAGTAGCCTTTGTTCCTGCCAGGCTTTGTGACCTTGGACACATTGTTTCATCTACTAATCCTTAATTTCATCCTCTGTAAAACAAAAAAAAAGAAGAAGATTATATCTACCTCCCAAGATTCAAAGAGAAAGAATTTAAGATGCTTCTCTGATATTCAGGAAGTACTTCTTAAATAATGGCTGCTCTCTTTCTCTTCAGTAAACACTGAAGTATTGACATTTATGTACACAAATGTATGTGATGAGCGCATGAAGATAGATTCTCACAGTCTGGGTGATTTAGAGATGCTGTGCATGCTTTTCTTACATGCTGTCCTTTTTCCTGACCATGGGCCTTGTGCTTCTCCCTTGCTCCACTCCTTCTGCAGGAATGGGGCCTCCTTTGGGGCCTCGATGATCATTTGTCTCTTGTCCTGGATTTTGTATGTAGTGGGAGTCCCCCCGAGCTACATCCTGCTGTGGATGGAAAGGCGAGAGATTGTGGAGCTGTTTGCATAAACACCGAGTTTGTGCTTTTACAAATGATGAGCTTGAATGGACTACAGGAGTCTGGATTTTAATCCCAGCTCCACTTTTGTGACCACTTGTTTCTTTGAATATATTACTTGTTATCCTTGTGTTTCCTTGAATATATTACTTGTTATACTTGAATCGGTTTCATCATTTACACAAGGGGAAAAATCATTCCTTTTCTGCCTGTCTGTGTGAGTTTTTGGTGGGGTCCTTTAAGCCACGTTTATGAAAGGTCATAGAAATATTAAACTTAAAGAGGCAGGACATCCAGGTGTAGGATATTTCAGGCAGGCTCACTTAGCGCTGACTACCTGGGGGGCAGGGTCTCCATGTGGGTATCTTGTTGCTATGTAGGATTTCTGCGGTTCATTCACATCCCTTTCTCCTGTTCTCTGAAGTCATGCTAGACTATTAGGAGAAAACTGTAACGAGAGGTTGAGAAACTTCTCTGTGGGGAATTCGAGAGGAAGATTAATTCTGGAACAATCGAAGGTATGGGACAAAGTTATAAAGAAATTTTAACTCCTTCTTAAAATTACTAGTACTCTACGGTCGGCTCACTGCAGGCCTTAGCAGACAAAAACAAAGAGCTAGATACACACTCAATAGGCCAGGAACAGAGTGGCAGTGTCAATCATTGGACCCTGAATCAGGCTGCACCTCCACCATCCTTCTTCTCGGTGCTTTCTTGCTATTATGGAGATCTACAGGGTAAGAGCATGACTCAAAATGTTCCGGGCCTGAGACAGTCTAACAATTATTTCATTCTTTGTGAAAAGTATATGTGGCTCCGTCTGGCTGGGAGCCAGCCACTAAGAGAAAGGTTCCAGCATCCTGACTTTGTACCCCTCTGCCTGTTCACTGTCCCCCAGGCCTGTGTCCTCTTCCCTTCCCGGATGACCTCTGCAGCTCCTGGCCCCTAGGCTGCTGTCCTGTCCACCTAGTCACTGTGTGTGACCCCTGACCCTGCCTCACACCCGTGAACCCTGTCTCTCCTCTTCATGTGTGAATCATTGCTACACCTTAGTTTGGGCCAGGCTGACTGTCACTCTGGAAAACGACCCTCCCAGTACTGCCTGCCCCAGCCATTTCTGAGAATGCTAGTCAGCCCTTCTAATTACTCATCAGCTAGGCCTAAGTATTCCTCATTCCCTGGAGATTCAGCTGGTGCTTCTGCTAGCCCTGACCTTGAATCAGCCACGTATGGATTTGTGGTGTTATCAAGGAATGGCTTGGCGGATGGCAGAGCTGGATTGGAAAACACATTAGCCCCTCTCCGCTAAATGCACCAATTACCCAAAGACCTTCAAGCAAATAAAGCAGTATGAATGAAAGCAGTGTGCTTGTTTTAAGCAAGCCTCTGCTCTCTCTTTTAAGCCAGGTTGCTGCAATTCCCACCCTTTATAGAAATTCTGGTGCTTTCTCCAGACGTCTTCAGACCGTGTTAGTCAGTCAGAGGCCTTCACTCCCGAAGGAAACTAGAAATCCACAATTAAGGCTCATAGCCTTAGCAGTGAGTGACTCATTACTGAAGCAAAAAATCAATTATAAGGGCTATTGGGAGGACATCGACAAATCATTTGCCTCCTGTCCTGCTGGACTTTTAACGTCAGTCCTTTGCCTAGGGACTCTTTCTCTG